TTGCATCATCAGAGGTGTTTTCGCTTTAAAGTTTGAATTGGACTGATTCAGCTGAGTTCGGTGTATAATTGTTTTACAGTTCAGTTTTTAGCGTTGATCATACTGACTGAATCAATTCACTGTCAACTTTCAAAGGAAAACAGCTCTGAGGATGCAACCCAATCTGCTAGCAAAACATCAGGCTGAAATTTTTGACAACGGCCGCCTAAAAGCTCAAAATACTCATTACACTTATTTAATGAATTCCATAGCCACCTTACAAAATGTAACAACTTTTTGAAATTTTTAAATAAAATAATTTATAATTTGAGAACGGTTGATTTCACAGCTTAAAGTGTAAATGCAAGTTCGTAACTTTGTAAATTGTCTATCTAATGACGTATTAATGTACAGGAACTTCCATTTGAAAAACAAAAGTTATATTGCGTTAAAAAGTTTTAGATTGAAGTCCACATTGTTAACACCCTGTACAATGAATTGATAGTTTGGTTCAATAGAATTCTTAACGGATCTGTGGTGATTGGAAGGACGTATTTTTTGTATCTTTAACTGATTTTGTTGCTTCTACAATTAATTTTTAGATACTATGTTTTTAAGTAAAATTTTACGAAAATGGCGATAATCTGCCAACGGCGCAAGTAAGAAAAAACAATTTAGGGTGCTTATGCCGCGTTTCAAGCTGCATTGCATGACCTAATGAAAATGGGCAGTTCTAATTAAAAAAATACACTTTGATCTTGCCTCGCTTTTCTGAGACACTCTGTATCATAAGATATTTTTAAAATGTGCGCAATTTGCGCGTGAACAACTTATATGAAACTAGTTTTCGAAAGTTCAACACCAACGGAAATAATGGACTCTTTCGCACTAAAAAACCACCCTGTATATTATTCACTGGTATTGGCCATACACTGAGATAAGGCGTCAGCATCTTTTAGCCCAGTTCCTCAAAAAACTGATCTTAAAACTGTTTTTATTTATCAAATTGGAACAACAAATTTTGCAAAATATTTTAGAAAATAATTTCTGTAAGGAAACGTATTTAAGAAATGAAATTGAAAAGTCACTTTTTAATTATTTCGTTTGTATATAAAATTGTTTGATGGCATTTTACATTTTAGTTTTTATATTTTAAATATTATATATTTGATCATAGCCGATCTTAGAATGAGCTGCCACTCCTTTCATTTCATGGATTATAGGCAATTGAAATATGCGAACATTATCTCAAAATAACATATTGCATCATTTAAGATTGATGTTTCTGATTGAAGTAAACATTGAGTTATGAACTCTAGATCACTAGATTCGAACCACTTTATTATGTTACATCCATAAGTACACTGACCCAAAATTCCGATCGATTTACACCCAACAGAATTTTGGAAGAGTACGAAAAACGTGTTAAAAAAAACCGTGATAAAAAAATTGTCGGACTTTTCGAATTATCACCGACATCTGAATAATTACTTGTAGGGTTTAAACAAAACTCGACATTTGAGAAAACCGGTTCCCGAATAGTAATTTTTCCAGAAAACCAGTTTTAACCGGTTTCGAATTTTTATAAAAAAACATTTTGCTTGAATATTCTGTAATTTGAATAAAAAATTTTAACAGAAAATTTAGAGTGATTAAAAGCAGTTTTTGACTGAAATGATTTACTGTTCAATTTTATTGATAGGAAAACTTTTATGCAATTTAGGAGAACAAAGAAATAATAGTTTACCAGGTTTAAGTTTAAAAACAATTATTCGTTGTTTATCCATAATTTTCACATATAAGGATGTAAATGTTTTTATAATAGTGAAACGAGTTATTCAGCAAA